CTTCCCTATTGCAGTTAAGCAGAGGAAGACATGATTCTCAGAAAAATCTGGCTCTATTTCCATATAGGTGAACCTGTGGGTGTAGCATTTCTGTCCTGCCCTGTGGTCTGTGCCAATGCCAGCACAAGCAGGTTTGGGTATGGGCAGAGCAGAACTACTCAAAAAGAGATTGCTTTTCTTATTCTTAAAAAAAAAAGTGATTCTTTAACAGTCCCCTCAAAATGAAAGTTACAATTTTCTTGACCTGATCTCAGAAGAAAGAGTAGTGTCCATTAACTGTATATTTCAAAGCTTCTGTTAATAACGGGCAGGAAGTTCTTTGTACAATATGAAAACATAAATCCATGGCTGTCATTAATTTTTCTCCTTTCAACATCTCAGTTTATATTCTGAAGCTGACAGCCCTGCTGCAGGATGAGACCTGTGTAGAGGTTCTGGGTGAGAGGAAGGCACATGGGTGATAGGATGAGTAGCAGGAAAACTGTTCCTCCAATCTATGTGGTCAGGAGCCAAAGAAACCAATAGAGTACCATGTGGTTAATTTGTAAAGAAAAAGAAAGAGAAGAGGAAAAGGAAGGGTTATGTCAAATGTTTTGCATCCTGTTGGAAGAAAAAAGAAAAGGAAGCCATGAGGATCCCATCATCCTGTTTGACATCTGCGAAAACCAAGGTGGAAGAGAAGGCATTGTCCTTTCAGAGGCCATTTCACTAAAATGGCTAGTGACAAATGATTAAATACCATCTGAAGGTCAAGTAAGCTTGTCTTTTAAAAAGAAGAGCAAAAAACCAAGTCAGAGCCAATGTTAGTCCTAGAGCAGAACATCCACCAACATGGCCTGCATCTACCCTGACAAAATCTCCAGACAGCAGCAGCTGCAAGATTCCAGCTGTTGAGCTCCAGTGTCTGTGGAGTGTAGACTCGGCTCTGTATTCTATTTTAATACTTTAATTTTTTTCTTCTTCTTGGAACTGGGGGCGTATGACAGAGAGGTAGCAAGCCTGAGGGCTCGGCCACTTCTCAGAATGGCATTTGGAACACTCTTTAATTTCTTTCCCTGGGTTTCAAGAGAGAAGTGACAGCTAGTTATTAAAGAACTGTCCCACCCAGAGATTAATTCAAGATTGCTTGTGGAGGTGAAGTAATAGCCAGAATTACCACTAGTTATCTTTCAAATTACTGAGAGAGTCCTATTTTTCTGAAGGTTGGGTACATATTTTGGTATTCATGTTTGGGTAACTTGGATCTGTGACTCTGGGGTGTGCATGTCTATGAGTGGAGAGAGACAAAGAGAGATGATGAAGATGAGGAGAAGGAAAGCAAGAGGAGGAAGAAGAGGAGGGGAAGATTATTACCACAAAGAAAGAGAGGCTAGGGGGTTTAAGAAAAAGAAAAAAAGAAAGGTAGGAAAGAAAGTAACCAGATAAAAAGAAACAAAGGAGCCCAAAAATGGGCTAGCAAGAAGGCAGCCAACGATCATTTTCACAGTGGTGATTTTCTTGCCTGTCCTTTTAACATTAAGGCATTAATGAAAGGGGGATAAAAGAGCTGTGTCTCAAGAAAAATTGGGGTGAATGAAATATGTTTTCTGGGGGAGCACTTGAGCTCTTTTCAGACCGTTCCCCTTCCTCTTGGCACTCCATATCAGACTGGGTTCCTCTGCCCATGGCTCTCCAGGACCTTTGGAGTTAGTGTGTTCTTGGATCTGCCTTTCTGGGCATGCTTTTTTCTCTTTCCTGGTAATCAATTTTACCTATTTGACTCTCCTTCCTTCAAAGCTCTCCCTTGCTGTACTTGCATGTGAAATAAATGCATTAATGCAAAGGATATGAATTCATTTTTCTATAATACCTCAAACTCCTAAAGTGATACTGGAAGGCATATTTTGGAATGGGTCTTGGGGAATTGGAGTTGCTTATGTACTCCACTACCCTGACCACGTCAACCTCTCCTGCGTACTGCCAACTTTGTTTAAAAATTCATGGCCATTCATGCTTGGAAGATACTACAGTATGTCTGCATAGAGAAACTCTTAAGCATCTTATCAGAGTAAGATTCTAAAGCCTTTAATCCTGGTATTGCTATAGTAGGATTGTAAGGAGAAATACAATTGTATCACAAAGCTTGACATTTTTATGTCTCAATGTAAGAATTTCTATGATGTATTTTTGTGTTTTATTCCAAACTGCTGTTCAAAATGGAAATATGCACCTTTTTCCTGAACCTCTTTATCCTCCTTACCAAATAATGATTGCATCCATGATTATTACAAAATCAAGAAGGAGAGGGAGTGAGCTTGATATTCTGACTCCCAAGGATCAATGATATGACAAGAAAGATTAGCAACCATTATTTTTTAGGCCCATTGTACCTCAAGAATCCCACTAATTGTAAGTGCACATTACAGTAGGGAGTCTCCCATGGATAGAAGCCAAAGAGGAGAACATCGAAATTTTGAGGGATAAGCATGGAAATGAGTAGTTCAGGGTGAGAGTATGGAATATTTTGTGTCTTTGTTTTTCACTCATCTCCTGTTCCACTGAGCATGAAGGGTAGACAGTTTTAAGAAGCTGAAGATCTGGAAAGTGTGTCAGCCCTGTGCCTGACATTCATTCTCAGACTCTTTGGGACAATTATCTGGAGAATGAATCCTATGGATGAAGGCAGCAAGTGATCAGCAAGACTCACATCTATAAAGCTTTCTCAATACACAACATGCCAAAGTCTAGACCCAAGAGTCCATGGTGAAATACTAGATTCAACTGAGGTCTCATGAAGTCTGCATGCAAAAGCCCCCCACCATGTGGTGCTGTCCATGCTTAGTAGCCTAATGTCCTTCTATTATTAAATATTTTCTGTAAGAAAAATGTTTCCTTAAAGCATTAGTAGATGGATCAAAGAAAAGATCATACCAAATAACGAGGGTACTCACAGAAAGTGGATCAATGCTCATTTCTCTTCTAGAGAAAAATTCAGCATATCAGACTGCTTGCTGAAAAATACACTTGATTAACCAGGAAATAATGGCAGTTAAAAAGTTTAAGGGGAAGGAAAAAAACAAAAAGGAAAGAAGCCCATTAGCTTGTGGACACATACCCCCATTTCAATAACGATTAACCCATGATTCAAGGAATTTTCTTAGGCCAACCTCAGACACAAACCTGCCAGAAGGCAGACCTTGACAAATTGAACTTGAGCATATGGTATCTTAGGAGTGTGTTCAGTTTGGGGATGTGTAAGATAATAGTCCCTGATAATTAAAACAGCACATTTGTTTATAAGCATAACTTGATCTGGGGCATATTGCTAGAAATTTTAGCAAGCACAATGTTTCTTTAAGGACTAATTATCCATCTGAACTTAAAACATACTCTGAATAATTTCTTTCACTAAATCACTTGAGTAAATGAGTTCTGTTAGATGGGTGACCAACAGATTCAAAGTGCTCCTGGATCATTTTGAATTGTGTAGGTGGAAATCTGAATAGCTACATAGCTGATTACACTGGGGACATGATCTTTGTTTCAGTTTGACCTGCAATCTTTAGTAACTTGAAAATTATAGAGGCATTTTCAGACCCTCTATATAACTAGGATCCTCCTACATATGGCTACCTAGATATTTAATTTTTTTTTCTTGGCAACTTAGTAATTTGCATTTTGAAATCTCTCCCTGGATCTGTGGGAAAAATGGTGGATCCATCTTTCAAGATACATGGCTTTGCCAATTCTTTGTCTCCCAACCCCCTCACCAGTTTCCATGCTAATTATATTAACATCAAGAAATTGTATTAGAATGTTTGGCCTGAAGTGAATATCTCCCAAAGCATATCTGTGAACGAGTCCTCATGGGAAAAAGGTTTGCAGAAGGCATCAGATCACCCTGGTCCCCAGACATTCTAACTAGTTAAATAACAGCAGGAGTTCTGCAGAATAGGATGTCCATAAACAGAAAAGCAGGGAGGACAATAACTGTTTTGAAAAATAGTAGGCATTCTTCTATAAAGTCTCTGGAGGCCTTGTCAGAAGACAAGCTTGTATTTATTTGGAATCCTTAATTCTAGAAACATTGGTCCTTACAGCCTGGATAAATGACTCAAATCATTCCAATTGAAAAGAACACGAAAAGAAAACTAACTCTAAATCACAGTTTGAAAGATGAACATCTGTAATTTAGTTTTCAATTACCACTTGGTATGTAATGACTTTGCTTTAAAGTATGTGTGCCTAATAACCATGAATTGAGGTCGTATCAGGATACTAATCACTGGCTGCCTGATTCCTTGGTTTGTACCTGGGCTCGGCTGTCTTGAGTGAAAGTTTATGCTGGAATATATGTATAAATCACTCTTCACCTTCCAGCAGAATATTTTTCTATACTTTGAATTTGCTGGCAAATTAAAATATGAAGGCATGATACAGTCTTCTAAAGTGGATGCTCAGATTACAAAAATGTTTTCCTGTCATTGTTCTACATGTCATTGTTTATATATTATTTAGTACCCTGAGAGTCATCTAACACTCTTAAAAAATCTGTTTCATTTGGATATGGCTCAAGGTAAGGTACCGATTAAAGAGCCGTTTCTTCCCAATCATACAGATAGATAGCGACACCCCAAATCCATTGGTGGAAATTGATTTTCTGCCACATGTCATGAAATCACCAGGGAAGTACAACATAAAGCAAATATTTATTCCCACAAGGGAGAATGGAGCTCAGTTTTATGATGGACATCGGCAAAGTCTATGGTTTAAATTACAGACTAACAAAGGATTCATGAGCTCAAAATTAAGTTATTCTGTTTAAAATCAATCACAGAGACTGTCATTCTGCTTATTGCTTTGACTTCCTAACAAAGATTTAAATGAGGACTTTATGTACAAGTAGAAAATGTCCAGAGATCTGCTCTTTTTCAGGCCTGTGTGGGCGGGTCAGGCAAACATTTAGGCCTTTAAAGTAATTAGAATGAGAAGTGTATTTTTACAGGAAAAAAAATTAAATCTTTAAGTTTGATTCATTTTTAATGAATTGTATATTGTATATACAATTACAAACAGTAATTGTATATATTTACAGGGTATAATTTGATGCTTCATACACATATACTTTATGGAAGGATTGAATCAGACTAATTAACATATCTGTCACCTTAAATATATACCATTTCTATTGGATGGAAACAAAGTTATTACATCTTTATAAAAAAAATCCACAAATCCACAATTAAACCATCATCTGAAAGAAAATGTTAGGGAATAAAAGGTGGGGTATATTTGAAGGGCACGAGGCTCGTTAATTCCAGAGTTATTGCAAAGATTCCAGGCAGGAAATCCTGGCATCAGGATTGGGGAGAAGGATCCAGAGAGTATCACCTTTACCAGCAAAGTGCACTCAGACTGTGGTTTTGAGAGAGAGTGCTTCTCTTTTGTCACTTGGTTTTGTGTTGGGTCACGACTCCAGCGCTGAGCAGCTCCCCAACAGCCCTGTCATCGTATCCAAGGACCTCCTTCAGGATGCACGTTGTGTGCTGCCCAAGCAGGGGAGGTGGCCTGGCCTCTGACATCTTGAACTTACTGTATCTCACAGCTGGGCCTGTCAAAGGAGGGGGAAAGCAGGAAGCCTGTTAATGACTAACCCTGGGAAGTTAATTACCTAAGCAGCCTGGGGTGTTCTCAATGAATGCCAAGAATATCAGTGCCAGTTACACCCTTGCAGATGCACCATCCTTTTGGAAAGGAATGTATTTATGCCCATGGCTTTTCTTGACTCAGGTTCATCCAACTGTGTAGTGGTCATCTGACCTATGGCCATGTAGTAGTCTGCATGTTTATGTGTAGGTATGTGCTAAGCCTGCTCAGAAGTTGTCCCTCCTAATTACAAGGACCCTCGGATGCAGGATATCCAAACCTGGGTCCAAGAGAACAACAACCACAGATACAAAGTGTCTCTCTGTGGCTAGAAATCTGAACTGAGGTGAAGACAACCTGAAAGGCTACCATCCAGTGTCTGTTATACAGCAACAAGATTTAGTTGGATAGATTCAAACCAACCAGACTGCAACCAGACCTTAGTTAGACTTTCAGCAGTAAGAGGAGGTCACACGTGCAAGCTTCAATATCAAGTAGGACCCTCTTGGAAAAATTCCTTAACTTCTCTGAACCTCGTGTTCCACAGCTGCATACCAGGTATGATAATGTTCACCACACAGGCTCAAGGTAAGGATTTAATTGAGAAAATAGGCAGAAAGTACTAAGTTAGCATTCCCTAGCCCATAATAACGCACACAACTTGCTGGCTACTATGATTAGAAAAGCTGCCACATCTCTCTTGAAGCTTGCAGCATAAGGGGAAAAGGACATTTATTGCCAGCTATTTGCCAAGCACTAAGTCACTCTAAACAGGGTAATTCAAGCAATACTTTCAACAACTGCTAGAAATGGATTTTATTATCCCCATTCTTCACATAATGACACGAAAGCCCCAAAAGCTAAGGTTTTGCTCAAGGCCACATGGCTAATAACAGTGTCAGGATGAAATTCCATGTCTCATATTAAAGGCCAAGCACTTTCTATAATGCCAGTGGCCTCTTCTTACTTCTCCCTTCTCCGTGGACAAGCTGGACACTGGGGAACATGTTTTGACAAATTTTACCTTTGTTACCTCATTCAGTAAATGGTATTTATATTGGGTGTCCTTTACATCCTATTTGATCAGGCTTCATGAGAACAAATTAGATAGTGGTCCCAGGAAGACTTTGTAAAACAATACATTTCTATGTCCTAAAAAAATTTCCCCCAGCCTACTGATGATTTGAGGAGCCATAGGAACAATAAGGAAAATAAAATGTGGGTAGGTAATGGAATATCTGTCAGTAAAACAGCAAATGTGCTTTGAACTCTTTGGAGAATTCCATTAATAAAAATGCTTTTGTACATGCCATTTTTTACAGTGTTCACAGATCTTTTAAAACCATCAACTTGCAGCTCTCTGTGCCACTTACCATCCACCATATACCAATGACAATTTCCAACTGATGCCTAAAATTTCCCTTCTCTGAAGCCTACTTAAATTCATTTTTTCTTCTCATATTTTTCTCTAATTTTAGAAAAATGACTCTTTTTTCAAGGATTGATTTCTGTTTGTAAAGGAGGACACAATTACAGCACACATAGGGAGGAAGTAAGGTCCACCACTTTCCCAAGATTGTTGATGATTTTATGTTTTAGCTATTTCATTCTTACTCCTTGATCCCTCAGACTCTGTTCCATTTTGATATCAACTTAAAACAGTTTTAATTCAAATTCTGTCTTTCAGAAGAAGAGCTCTTCTGAGGGATTGCCAACCTAAAGTCAATATCATGTGGTTTTATATTAAATGAATTACCTGGAGTGAGACTACAGAACGAAATGCAGTCATGTCGCTGTACCAAGAATCTGGGTTGGAACACAGCTACTACTCCTGCTGGTGGTAGTAGCTATAGCAGTGAGGAGGAGGGAGTAGTCATTGTTGTAGCAGTAGCTACTGCTCCTTAAGAATAGCCAAACATGTACCAAAGCTTTTACATATATCATCTCTCATAAGGCTCAAGATTATGGGCCTGTCTGCAGGGTAGATTATTATAATCATTCTTCCAAATTAAAACATTAGAGGGAATGGAAGTTTCAAAGAAAATGTGTTAGAGTTAAGGGTAGGAGATTAAAATAACTTGGCCAAGGTCAAACAACTTTTTTTTTTTTTTTGTACTGGAAATTGAACCAGGGGAACTTAACCACTGAGCCACATCTCCAGCTTGTTTTATTTTTTATTTTGAGACAAGGTCTTACTAAGTTGCTCAGGACCTTCCTAAGTTGCTGAGGCTGACTTTGAACTTGCAATCCTCCTGCCTTATCCTCATAAAGTCAGTATCCAATTTCAATTCTGGTGGTTTCCAGAACTTGGGTCTTAAAAATGTAGGTAGATAGATGATAGATAGACAGACAGACAGATAGATAGAAAGACATAAACATACACTCATATAGTTACATGTACGCATACTTTGCTGAAGATAAATTTTCATAACATAAAATGAACCATATCAAAGTTAACAATTCAGTATATTCACAAAACTGTGAAACCATTACCTCTATTCAGCTCCAAAATATTTCTATCACTCCAAAATAAAACCATATACCCATTAAGCAGTTTGTCCCTCACCTTCCTCCTTCCAAACCATGATAAACACTAATTTACTTTCTGTCACTATAAATTCATCTTTTTTTGGGGGGGGTACTGGAAATTGAACTAGGGGAACTTAAGCACTGAGCCACATCTCCAGCTTGTTTTATTTGTTATTTTGAGACAGGTTCTTACTAAGTTGCTCAGGACCTTGCTAAGTTGCTGAGGCCAATTTTGAACTTGAGATCCTCCTGCCTTATCCTCCCAAACTGCTGGGATTACAGGCATGCACCACCATACCCATTTTATCTATTCTTCTTTTTTTCTACTTATATACCCCACAAGGCTTTCTTACTTATATATTTTTAATTAATTAATTAATTATATTTATATATAACAGCGGAATGCATTATAATTCTTATTATATATAGAGAGATCAATTTTTCATATCTCTGGTTTTATACATAGTATACTCACACCAATTCATGTCTTGATAATACTTATAAATGAAATAGCTTATGTGTTTCTTTTGTTTGGCAGAATATTGTTGAGATTCATCTACATTGTGTCAGTACCTAGAACCTGTATTTTAAATGTCCATGCAGTGATCAAATGAGGAAACTCTGCATGTCAAACCATACTAAAGAGCAATTCAACTGTGTCACTCCTTTCATGTGATAGTTTTCTGATAGCTTTTAGGGCTACATGAAAGGCTATTCTACCAGTGTAGATTTTTTTGCATAAAAAATCTTGAAGCATTTAGGTTGGTGGAATTTTATTCTTCAGCAATTTTTTATACTTGTCAAGACAAAGATATCTCTACCATTTTAGGTTTTGCACAAAGAGAATAAAAGGGCACACCAAATACATTTGTTTCAAGAAGCAGAAAATGTTTGACAATTATTTACATCTAATGTCTAAGAAGAATGAATAATCTTATTTTCCATTAAAAAATAGATGAGCAAGTCACATGTTTTTAAATTTTTGGCAAGGTATCATCTATGTTCTTCTACACTTCCAAATACTTGCAAGCTGTGTGATCTTGAGAATTCCTGAAGGCCCAAAGACTCTGTCTACACATTTATAAAATGAAGTTGACCATACACTATTGAGGGTCTATTTGTTTATTAAATATTATAATCTAGATAATATTCAATATCAGTAATAGTCAAAGAAATGTATATGAACATAAATACAAGATGAAATTATGTTTATAAAATTAGTCAATCATGTGAGTATCTTTGTTTTTGGAATTTGACTTTTGGTCAAAGTATAAATTGATGCAACTCTTCTTGAAAAATTTGCCAACTGAATATCAAAAATTTTTAAAGCATTCACATGTTGAGTGGAGAAATCACATTTAAATTTTTTTTCCTATAAATATAATCTGGAAAGTTGATAAATTTTATAGATAAGGATGAATACAATTTTCTAAATCTGCTTGTTAATCTTAGCAACTCTTGACTTACTATGTGGATTTTTACCCTACAGCCCAGGAAAGTTCTTTGGTGAGATTCTGGATTTGTTAATTATTATATTTTTGTGGGATGGGTATCAGGGATTGAACCCAGGGGCACTCCACTAAGCCACATCCCAGCCCTATTTTGTATTTTATTTAGAGACAGGGTCTTACTGAGTTGCTTAGCACCTCAACTTTTGCTGAAGTTGGCTTTGAACTCGTGAACCTCCCGACTCAGCCTCCTGAGCCTCTGGGATTACAGGTGTGCGCCATGGTGCCCAGCTTATTATTACTATTACTTATTTGTTTATTCATTTGTTTATTTGCAGTGCTGGGATCAAAACAAGGCCTCATAAATGCTAGGCAAACGTCCTAGCTGAGTTACATTTATAATCTGAAGAACTCCTATTTTACCTAATTTTTTGTATCTGCTTATTGCTTTGCAGGTTGCTTTTTTTGTGTGTTCAGCTCTTCATCCTTTTATGTATTGATTCCATAGGTCTATCTCTAATCTTTCTCTCCCAGATAAAGAGGTTAAATAGTTATAATAAGGGGAAAAACAACAGGAAATATGTTCAAAATTTAAGACTGATTAGATTAATTACAGCGCGTCCAAATGATGACATACTATATTTGGTAATTCCGAGTTGTACTTTTTTGGTTGTTTTTACATCCTCCTGCAACCATGCTGAAATATAAATATATAAATTGAACAAACAAAGAAAAGCATACAAATGAAAGGAATCAAAAGGAATATCCCTAGTGAATGAGATTATTTCCAACTAACTTCAGAAACATGATGATGGGATCATCTTGATGGGTAAAAGAGGCAGAAAAAGCTGAAGCCTAGAATATTCTATAAGGAAATTGTGAAGAGGTGGATGAGAAGAGGTGGGTGACTATTGGTCTGTTTCACCCTCCAAAGACTGATCTTAAAATATTTGGTAATGAGAGAGACAGAAATGGGATTAGAAATAGG